CACACAAACATCCCCAATATGGGTTATGAGTGGCTCAAAAATTGGGCATTATTTCTACCCAGAACTTGGAATAAAATTGAATAAAAACTCCACAAGCCATTTTGGGGGAACGCGATGAAAACTGAAACCACCAAAAGGATTGATCCGCTAACGAAATGGACAAAGAACCAATTCGTCCGAACTTGCCCAGTGGCTTCAGCCCCGGCATACAGGGCTCCCGTGAGGCCCCGGCAGCCAAGCGTTCGACGAACTCGGCCTGTGGCCGTCTCCAGGACGCAATTGTAATGTGTCGATATTTGTGTCCTGGTTGGTGGTTTCAACCAACCCCTCTGAAAAATGATGGAGTTGGTCAGTTGGGATGATTTTCCATTCCCAATATATGAAAAGTCCGAAAAATAAAAAATGTTCCAAACCACCAACCAGCTATATTTGTGTCCTTTTCCTTCTCCTTCACCCTTCTCTTCCTTTCCTTTTGCTTGTCTTTGTGGGGAGGCTGAAGTGGAAGCTTCCACCCAGAAGATGTCGGGTCAACTCTTGCAGGGTTTTGGCTGCTTAACCTTGGAGGCTTGCCCCGCTGTCAAGTATTACAGCAGCTCAGAGCTAAAGGCTCCAGTGGAAAGGGCTAAGGACCTGGTATTTTCTGGTGAGAGGGTGATCTTGAAATTGATCTCTCTCTTAAAGAACAATCATTTTCCATTATAGTCCCCTAATATCATCTTTGGTGCAATGCACCAACTGATATTTCACGACAAAATATGACCATATATCATATATCCCAGAAAAAATATGTTTTCCAATAATTTTTTTTGATATCATATTTCTATATCATATATATCCCAGAAAAAATATGTTTAAAAAAAAAACTCTTCATAGACCCTCTTTGTTGCTCAGTAACTTTGGACCCGTTGACCTCCATGAAACCTTTGGGGAACGGAAACAGCTGGAAATCGCCTGCATGGCTTCCAATTGGTTCGGTAGCTGCTGCAAGCTGGCCATCCTGAGATGCTAACCCCAAAGATGTGAGAAAAGGTTGAATTTGCACCAGTTGATGGTCTATCACATTATTTATAGGGTTGAAAAACCATCCTTTTGGTGATGCAGGATTCCATTTACAGGATTGAATCCTAATGTTTACCCTCTGGTTGTTTAACATAGCCATGGAAAATGGCCCATAGAAATAGATGATTTTCCCAGCTATAAACCTCCATGGCTATTAGGGATTTTCCATAATAACCAGATGGTATATGTTGAGGTTGGATGAAAAAAAAAGAATAGTATAGAAAAGTTGTTTGTCGCGAAAACTCGGGATTGGAGATGTTACAAAATTTGATCTTTTCTGGGGAACTGTAACCTATATACCATTCTGAGCATCAGAAACCTGGAAAAATGAAAAACAGGTGCTGAACTGGTTACCACCTCCGTAAAAAAAAATGGATTGGTTCAAGCAAAAATCTATATCGGAATCCTCATCCTTTTTGACCCTGCGAAAACATCGGGGGGAACTCTCTGGGTTTTACCCAGCCAGAAATCGGGCATACTCCAAGTTGGTGCCCTGAAATAGGAAAATGATCTTCTCACTAAATTGGAGGTACCTACCATATATAAGGCCTATGTAAGGCCTATGCAAAGGGATATACCCCAAAAATATGGCCTTATATATATGGTACTAACGTACCTCCATTCAAATGGATCCTGGAGATCTCCCATTGAAATAGGATTTAGAGGTTTTCCCCCATAATTTTCAGAGAAGTCCCCCACATTCTGCACTTGATCTCTCCATGGATCAACCGTAGAAAAACCCCAACTCCAAATCCCATGATTCTTCTGGGACATCCCGGAAGGGAAACATGGGAAACATCGTCAAAGAACTATCATTTGTTGGAAACTCTGATTGGATATACCAATAGCTACATGGATATATGGATACACGGGTATATTAGGATACTCCTAACAGCTCGCTATTTCATAGGGAATATGGATATACCAATAGCTACATTTAAAGTTCCATTCACCAGATCTAGCCAGGCACCTCAACGAATTTGGAATGAATCCTGGAGAGTGATCCAAAAAATCAGGGCCCATCCGCCTTTAGAGTTAACAACCCCAAGCTATCGCTATTGGAGAAAAATAGTACCCTCTGGTTGTTGCACATAGCTGTGGGGCCCCTTTATAGATGATTGATGTTTTTTTACCTATTAAAAATTGTGAAATTCCATGGCTACGTTAAATTAAATAAGCAGGTATTTCATGATATCCCTATTGTATTCCTGCTATGTATATTCCTATTCCCACTTTATACATGTAGAGAGAGAGAGAGAGTGATACGATTATCTGATTACATCCCAATAAAGTGCCATAAACCAGATGTGTATATATCCTGGTTGGTGATTTCAACCCCTCTGAAAAATATGAGTTCGTCAGTTGGGATGATTATGACATTCCCAATATGAAAAGCCATAAAATTCCATGGTTCCAAACCACCAATGACCAACCAGTATCCAGCAAAATATATCATGGGAATCCCCCTGAGCCCCCGACTCGGCCATGGCGTTCCGCACCACCTGGCATCCGTTTCGGAAACGGCGTCCAGCCCATGGAGGGATGCCGATCGCGAGTTTTCTAGTGGGATATGGTCCCGGTAAAACTTGTAGATTGTAGATGCACAATACTCACATATATATATATATACAAATATGGAGGTTTCTCAAAATGGAGGTACCCCCAAAACCGTTTCACGAAATGGTCATCCATGACGACTGGATGATTTGGGGTAGCCCCAGCCATTAGGAAACTCCATTGGTCCCCCAGCACCACCGTTCCCATCACCGTCCTTTCTCTCGGGCATCGCAATGCAGCAATCCCCGCTTCGGTGCATTGCGATTTGGGACAGCACCATGTTGATCGTGGACACTCGCGAAACAATTCAAAAATGGAATTTTAATTATGGGTATCTAAATAACAGAAATATAATTTACAAATTTGAGTCTAATGAGTTATGCAATTGCGACATTAATTATTACCTTACACTTGGGGATATAACTTAGTATATTGTAGCATGAATAAAACTGAGTATGGAACTAATGTAACTAACCACCTAGTATAGTATCCTCTGGTAACATAGCTATGGAAAATGGCCAGTCGAGTTCGATGATTCACCTATTAAAAATGCAGAGTTTCCAGTTCGCAAACTGGAAACTCACCAGAGGGTACACAACAATTATCCCTTTTTCATCCGTTTATTGTTGGTTATACAACCAGTAATAGCCATTATTTTCACCACCACTGTTAACCATTATTAACCGCTATCAACCAGTATCAACCATCAGCATGTTACCTCTATCTTTGAAAAATGGAGACCGCCCCAGCAGTCAAAGGTGTCCAGAGTCAAAATGGGCATCCCGGATGCTTTCTCAGCTGTGGAGTGCTCAGCAACGGACCCTCTGGTAATTCAACACTGCCATGGGATTTTATAGTGATTTAATGACGTTTTATAGTGATTCAATGGGATATTCATGGTATTTAGCCTCTGTTAAACTAACATAGCTATTGAACATCGCCATAGACCATAGAAATAGTTGATTTTCCTATTATAGTGGTTAACCTCTGGTAAACATACAAAAAACTATGGCCATGGAAAGATCCACCATTTTCATGGGAAAATCCACTATTTCGACTGGTCCATTTTCCATATTTTCCATGGCGTTGGATTAGCAGAGGATTTCCTTCTCAGATCCCACGAGTCTCACAACCAGCAATGGATTTCCAGCGTGCCAACCAGCAGAGTTCGCCAGCTGATATACAATATGTGGATCTTTCAAATCATATCATTTCCTATATCATATGAATTACAATGTATGTATGTATATATATATGTGATATTTATATACATTAATATAGTGTATGTATGTGTATGTATAGATACATCTGTGATACATTAATGTATGTATAATTATGCATTTTCCCTGTACTTTGGATGTTCCCTTGCTTGGTTGATCGTCTCTGGATCTCTGGATATCCGATTCTACGACCAATTAGCTGCACGGGGGACGTCCACAGAGAACCAATGGCGACTGCAACAAGCAACGTGCGAACATGGTGACCTGGCTGCTAGAAAATGAATGCAAAAAATAGAGACCATCGAGCGGTGCTTCCCAATGAGCACTCGATTTTTGGACCCAACTTGGTGCGGTTTTTTGTGTGTCCACAACCTGTTGGGGTTGGAATATGTTGGAATATGTTGTAATATGTTGGGGTTTCCAACCACAACTGAGACCACAATAGAAACGTTTCCAAATTGAAATCCTGTTGGAACAAAAAGCGACATATGACATGCCCAGATTGGTTTCTGACATGGCGGCCATGCTGCTGATGTTTGTATCATCTTTAATAAGGGATCACCCCTCCAAAACAACTGTGCTTGATCAAACGCATATATGCTGAATATATCTGAATATATATATATATATGTAATACATACTTGTTTTGATGTGTTCATTCGAGGTCATTCATTCAGCAAAGCACCATGAAACATATGTTGCCACTGATCTTCTGGAGGACCGTCCTGCAACCACAACGATACCACGAGATGGATGTGAATTCGAAGCCAGCGGAGGATGCAGAAAACAAAAAACATCAAAAAACCGCTGTACGCTCTGGTAATTTGTTACGTAGCTATTGAAAATGGCCATTAATAGTGGATTGTCCCATTAAAAATGGTGATTTTCCATAGCTATGTTAGTTTACCAGAGGGGTAAATCCCAATTTCTACCAATGTCTATTGCAGAAGATTGGTTTAAAAAAAGGATATGCACGGAAGTAAAAATTGCAGCATAGCAGGCAGAAATATGGATGAATATTGGTTCTGAAGGAAATGGCAATTGTCTGGAAATACCCTCTGGAAAACTAACATAGCTGCTATAGCTATTGAAAATGGCCCAGTCGAAATAGTTGATTTACCCATAAAAAAATGTGATTTTCCATATCTTCAGATTTGACATTCAGAAAACACCTCCGCTCTCTCCTGATGACGGTACTCCGCTCCAGCTGACCCCGGAAAGGTCAAATTTGGCTCACTTCGCATGTGAAGTCGCAGCAAAGTGGAGCAACATATGTTGCATCAGCCTGCAGCTGCTACACACATCAGTGCCATCATAGTGACTGTGACTAGAAAATGACAGTAGGACAACAAAAATGAAGAGGATGAAACTGAAACATACAAATTTGTGTGTGTGTTTATATATAATATGGAAAATACATCTTCTATTATTTTTATATCCATAATGTACAGTATGTATATATATAGTCATCCCCAAATAGATGGAAAAGTAAATCCCTACTAATTTGATGGTGATTTACTTTTCCATCTATTTGGGGATGACTATATGTATTCATTAATATATACATTAGCTATATCAATTAATAGATATATGGCTATTTTTTCATAGCTATATCATGTTAACCCTGAGATTTCATCAGGCGAAATGGAGCTAGGAGCTAGGAGCGAAACGGGACCTCAACTTGGGGACTTTGGGTACCCTTTGGTAATTAAGGGTTAACCCATGGTGATTAATTAATGGTGATTAATGGTGATTTAATGGGTTTTAATGAGACTTACATAATGGTGATTAATGGCGATTTAATGGGTTTTAATGAGACTTAATGGTGATTAATGGTGATTTAATGGGTTTTAATGAGACTTAATGGTGATTTACTGGTAATTAATGGTGATTCATGGTGATTTACTGGTAATTAATGGTGATTAATGGTGATTTACCCTTTGACAATCAAACATGGCAATGGAAAACCACGATTTTTAACCATGGAATAACTATTCAATGACCATATATCACCATTAAATAACCATATATAACCATATTATTAACCATTCCTCTTGGTTACATACTAACATAACTATGGAAAAACACAATTTTTAATTGGTACTGTAAATCAACCAACTAAATGGCAATTTGCAATAGCTATGTAATGGAAGATCCCTATAAATCTATGGGTTTATTTTTTTTAATGGGAAGATCATCTATAAATATCTATAAATGGTGGATTGTCCATTGCCACGTTTGATTACCAGAGGGTATGTACCAAGATATGGGGTCGCCACAGATGTTGCAGAATTGTTTGCAGGCAAATGTGTAATGAAGTGTGGCCCATCTTTTGCCCCAAAAAGGTATGGCTCAATATTGGGTACTGCTGAAATTGGATGGTTACAAAATATATAAACTGGAATCTGCGGTTTTTTTCTGGGTCTGAAAAAATGTCAGAAATCCCTTAAATCTCAGCTCCTTTGCAAGACAGAGCCATGGCTCTGAACATAGGGTACCCTCTGGTAATTTAACATTTTGCTATTGAAAATGGCCCATTTATAGTGGATTTTCCCAGTGAAAACGGTGATTTTCCATAGTTTTTTGTATGTTTACCAGAGGGTACCCCTGATTCGAATCATCATTTTTCCCATCATAAACTGACGGCTTTAATAAATTCCCATGGCTCCATGGCTCAATCCCACGAATTTTCCGGAACCATGTCTTTCCAGGTAGCTCAGGATACTGCAACATCGAATTGCTTTTGGCCATCTCCTTCGGGCAGCTAAAAACCAAGCTGCCTAAACCATTTCGTGGCGTTGGGATATCAAAAAAATCATCATGAGCATTGTTTGTATATGTTTGAGTTTCACATATATGATTGTGATATTAATTGTGATAATCATATGTCAAATATATGATTGAAATTTATGATTGGCATTCCATCATCAGGCATTTCAACCGCAAAACCAATGAGACTGAAAGTATGCCTTCCTTTTTTTCTTCAGTTATTGCTGAGGCCCATATGAGGTGTGTTTTCGTACCTCCAGTCGTTTTTTGTTTTCATTCCTCATCAATGAAAATGACCCCAGATCTTCATCAACAATCATCAACAATTGTTTCTTGTCTTTCCTCCATCAAAATAGATTGTCCGATGATTTTCCCTAAAATCTTCACAAATCCCAGGTTTTCCCCCATCTCCCCTAGCCGGCGGACGGGTCCTTCAAGTAACCACTCAAAACCAGGATCTTAAAGGCGTGATTGTAAAGCCCCATCAGATCAAACTGGACCGAGATGGCCAAAATCTCCTTGGAACGACGTCACGAAAACAATGAGCTGCGATTTTGGGGGCAACGTATTTTGGTCGTTTTTTGATGTTTTGTGGGGTCTGCGGGTTGCTGCACTCGATTTTTAAATGGTTGTACTACCTTATTCATCACATGCCGCTAATAGGGGTACGCTTTTCATGTGCAAACCTGGGGCGTTCTCTCCCCCATCAGCCACTTTAAAGGGCCCCATTCTCAACAGTTGGAAGGTCAAGACCACTGCGATTGATGGCATACCTTTTAACAAACAGGTTGGATGAATAGGGGTATATACAATACAAAGGTGTGTATAATTATATATATCTCTCTCTCTCTCTGGTGTGTAAGATGTGTGGGTTCATTCAACATGGTGATGTATCAAAAGTATCAAAACCCAGGTGCCCATATCTGGTGCTTACGGAATCTAATCTCCCGAAATATGGCGGCCATATTTAAAATAGTTTTTCGCATGGTTCTGCACCTTTACAAAAGTCAGCTAAATGTGTGGGTTTTGTAGCAGTGTCAAAATCGATTGCAGGCGTGGGACTTTTTAAAGAGGATCTGCAAAGATGCATGTCGCGTGATGGGTAAAAATGTACGTTCCCCAAACTCGAATTGGTTTACACCCTTTTCATTTAACGCGGATGCCGTGGGAACAAAATGTTGATTTTCAACATGCACCCCGCAAGAAATGTATGAAAATGGCCGAGGATATTTCGACCTCGGAACCTGGGTGTCTCCCATTACTTCCATTGGACCCAGGCAGCGGGCCATCAGTCCGTGACCGTTGATCCTAGCTTTTTCATAAATGACCCCAGAACAAACTATAGAATGGGGGCCAAACTAACACTAGTAAATGTCATTTCCTTAACAAACCTTAAACCCGAAATTTTCTCTCATGGGTGCCTCAAGGCCTGCCTCGCCTGCCTCACATCCTGCCTCTCGAAGTTTCTGAAGTGATCACCACCCACTGGCAACTTGAAATAAAGCCAAGACATCCAAAAGCAACTGGAAAACTGGTAAATCTGTCAGAGGTAGTCCTCTGATCAACCTTTCCTGTGCATAGCGAACCTCCGATACAGCTACATTTGCACCGGTTGTAAAGTATCCAAGTGGGATTGCAAGGGGCTCGAATTCCCAGTGTCTGTTGGTCGTATATGTTGTATCCCATCTTGGTTGGTGATGATTCACATTTGTGCTGATGGATTTCCGTCCCAATTCAATATCAAACCCTGAACATGATGATTTCCAATCGAAGTTTGCCTTGCAAAGACCTCTTTTAAGTTGGTTTAAGATTGCTTTAGATCTTTCCCCTGAAAATATAGATATGTGATATGTACATACTTTGATGAGATTTATAGCCAAAACACCCAAAGGTTCATGTGGTATCCCCATGGAAAAAAACAGTCACATATTCACTCAGCATTTTTCAAGCTCAAAATCACATATGATCACACATTCACTCAGCATTTCCCAAGGTTTTTTACAAAACATCTCATTCCACCCCGCGAAGCAAAGCTTCCATGATACTGGCGTGGGTCACTTGCTGCGCCATTGGCTCCACCTCATTGCGAGGTCTTGTGCAGCTTTTCTATGAGTGAAAAATTTAATGGTTATATATATATATATATAAATATATATAATTATATACTGTATATATAAGTATATTAATGTATTTCATATGGTCTTATATGGTGTTTATATGGTTTTATATTCCAACTTAAGGTTTGTCATCTCCCGATTTAAGATGGGTTTATACAAGCGTATGTTCACAACTGTTCAATGGGGAAGCGTGCAAATGTCACCATCGTCGTGAAAATGTGATGGGACTGTGATGCGTTATGGGTATGGGTCAACCGCAGATTTTAAGGTCTATCTTTACCCATACGGTGGATGGTTGCGAAATCCTGCACCAGTTGATGGGCAAAATCCCATTATTTATAGGGTTGAAAAACCATCCAAGGTTTCTTTACCCATATTAGTACCCAACCATACATTTTTGCGGGGTATGTCGTTTCAAACTTCCGGTAGGATAGGTTTAACCCAACATGGTCTTTGGATAATTTCATCCCACTGGCCACAGGGGATCTAAGCGACAGCAACAAACATGGGGCCCCTTCACCACTAAATCTGGTGTCGCAAAGGCACTGGACAAACCCCAGAATCTGGGTGCTTTGCATGTATAGCTATATACAAACATGTATGTATATATGTATTATAATATATGTGTATATATATATACTGTAAATACATACATACATGTCTGGCTATGCACCATTTTCAGGGTGACGAAAATCCACAACTCCCAGCATGTTTGATGTGAAAAGAAGGGTCAATTAGAGGTTTTTGACCCATTTTTTCCATCATACAACCATGATATTCCCATATGAATCATATCATACCCTCTGGTAAACTAACATAGCTATTGAAAATGGCCATTTATAGTGAGTTTTCCCATTAAAAATGGTGATTTTCCATAGTTATGTTAGTTTACCAGATGGTATATCATACCATGATATCCCCAGAAGTCATCTCCCGCGTTTGCGAAATCTCCAAGGCACCAGCCGCTCTTGCAGCATCGGCAGCTCAAAGATCTGCGCCAGCTTCAGGACGTCGCGCAGCTCCTGGAACGATTTTTGGTGACCCAATGATGGTGTGTGAAATCGGACAAGGAACCATCATATAACATATACATACATATACATACGTATCATCTGTATATATATATGTATACCCATATGGGATTTAAAAATAAATATATATATCCCCTACAGAACTTTGGTGACCGATGATATGGGGATTTAATGTTGGGATATATATATATATATACTGTATATGTATGTATATATATATATACATGGGATATAAAACACACAAAACTATATGGGTTGTATTAAGAATGTCTGAACTATGGCTTTTTTGAAAGTGGTGATCTCTTTCACTACAAGGATTGCGTTTCCACGTTTCCAAAGAACTCCGCCAAAATGATCACCTGGCCACCTTTTCACCCAATGAGGTGTGAACAACTAACGTTAACCCAAGATTAGTAAACCCAGCGTGCCCCAGTTTATGCAAAGGGCGGTACCATTGTTCTTTAAATAGTAACTGATGTCACTCTTTTGCGGGTGATCCCACTAATGAACCAACGATGTTTGGGGGGCGGTCACCGTCAACTATTCATAAGCGATGGTCAATGTCATGTACCCGCGTATTGTTGTTTGAAATATCACTTGAGTCGAACCGATTTTTAAATGTATACTATCCACAAATTGGATACTGACATGCCCATATTTGAATAGATGACATTTTGGTTTATTCCCCCTGCCGGTTGTGGGTAAAATCCATTCCCTGACCAAATGGAAAGGGGTAGCATCAAAAATTGTGGTTTTTAAATGCTTGAACCATCCTGAAATTGTGATTTAAATAGCCAATATCATAAGATATACTCCACAAATTTGAAATTCTAGCTTAGTATTCTATTTCGCATATTTTAGCATTGGATCTATCACTTGGGGCCCATTTCCAACCTGGGAAGACATCAGACAGAAGCACCTCGATGTCCAATTCGAAGGCACCACCTCACGGACCAGAAAAATGGAGATTCTCATGGCGATTTACGTAACGATTCACGTGGGCCAGCGACATCCTGCACCAGTTGATGGGCAAACTCCATCAAAATCCCATGATTTATAGGGTTTCGTGAAAAACCATCCAAAAAAGAGGTAATAAACAGGATTCCATTGATAGGATTGAAATGATTGAATCCTAATATGTGTACTAATATCCATAGTACATTCTATAATTCCATCCATAAGTCGATTCCATTGCATGATCGAGTCCTAGCCGAACCTGGATTGTGACCGCAAATCAATGGACGAAAAATGGATCCATGCCCCTTTTTTTCTCTGCTTGGATGTGCATTCCACTTAGTATATAATTATACATACATATATATATATGTCATATATTATATATTATAGTATAATATATATATTATAGAATAATATATAAGTGGTGCCTAACCCATATATGACTGGAAATATTCCATGTTTTTCATTGGAACTGGGTTTTACCGGTTCTAAACCCCTTTCATGGTCCCCTTTCCATGTCATGACCGAGCCACCCAATTGGTATGCGAAGTCCAGAAGGACCAGAACTGCCTCGCAACAAGGGGATGATGGATGAAAACTTGTCTCTTCTACCTCTATGGTGCCTCCATGGAGACGTTGTTTAAAAAGATGGAAAAATGGGGAAAACTTTGGAAAATGTAAACCTGGTTGGTGGTTAATAGTGATTAATCATAATAGTGATCTGGTTGGTGGTATAGGTATACCCCTCTGAAAAAATATGAAAGCCAATGGGAAGGATGACATCCCATATACTATGGAAAATAACAAATGTATGAAACCACCAACCAGTAAACAATGTCCATGCTAAATCGGGACTAAGCAACCGAAAGTCGGGAAAAACATATATAGAAAGGCAAACAACATATGCCATGGAAATGGCGACATAAACTTCAAGAATAACATTTCCACTGTATAGCAAAGAAATGGTGTGATCTCTTCAAACCAGGTTGCTACATTTGTTACTCATCTAGTTCGTTCAGGAAGATATTTCTTGAGAAACATTCATGTGCGCATAGCGAAGAGTCACTACCAAAATCAGGCGATTTAAAGCCATAATCTACAATCCGTACCACCAAAATAGAAAACATTCCACCAGATTGTCTGCCCAGTGATTTTCCCTTGTTAAATTTGAACTCCGCCCCAAAAAGTGAAACATGGAGCAATGAGTGGTTCCTTCGGTACGAACCAGGGCCAAAAACTACGACCGAAGATTCAAAAGTGTAGTTCCATAAATATAGCGCTCAGAAAAAACATCAAAGTGAAGCGTTACTCTTTTGAAGGTCATTTCTTATGCTTCATTTACACTCTGGTTATTTAACATAGCTATGGAAAATTGCCCATTTACAGATGATTTTCCCAGCTATAAACCTCCATTTATAGTGGATTTTCCATAGCTATGTTAGTCATAACCAGATGGTACAACTTTTTTTAAACCTGAGGTAAACATACCAAAAATATGTTTCCTTTTTGGACCCCAAAAAGTCATAAGCTTTTTATAGCCTGTAGCCATCCATGAGAGACACCCTCTGCCTTTGGGTGGGAGATGCCCAACTGGATACCTCAGCTGCCAGTGTTCCAAAAGATCCAGAAGGTGGGATCGAAATACCCTCTGGTTATGTCAAAATAGCTATTGAAAATGGCCATTTATAGTGGATTTTCCCATTACAAATGGTGATTTTCAATAGCTATGTTAGTTTACCAGAGGGTAGATTGATGGATTGATGGTTGGATCTCAGAAATAGTGTTAAAGTTTAGACCTACCAAGCGGATTTGCGTTTTTTTTTTGTTGGTGACATTTTTTTCACCATGGAGATCCATTCAGTAGCATTTATCAATTTTATCATATCGTATCCCGTATGTTGGATGGTTAAACCAAAAAAAATATCCCATGTGTTTGACATATTTATCCCCATTTCCTCATGGTTTCAACTCATTCCAAGGCAAAGTCCTCGAGAAAGTCTTGATTACTGGCCGCAGAAAAATCTTCAGTTTATCCATTCATTGATATATATATATATATATTAATATTATTATTATCATTATTATCATTGGTATTATTATTAGTATTATTGGTATAAGTATTATTATTAGTAGTATGATTATTATTTGTATGATTATTATTGGTATTATTGGTATTCTTGGTATTGGTCTTATTATTAGTAGTAGTATGATGATTAGATTATATTATATTATATTATATTATAAAGTATAGTTATGTTATATTATACCACAAATTCCACAATATTTGGATTTATTTGGAACATCCCCACAAGGAGCAGCAAGGCTACTTGGCAACTCCTCCACGGCGCAGCACATCACTTCCGGGCGCGGCAACACAGCCAGGGCCTCCCTGGGCGCAGAGCACGGCGCGCCGTGCCAACGTTGGGCAGCCAACGTTACTGTAGTGAAATATTTGAGAGATTATGGAAATCTCATCTAATCTCTTCCAATGGTTTTTTGGGCTTGAGATAGTCGTTTTGACTCAGATTCTGTGGAACTTTTGGTTCTGATCCTTTACATCCACTTCCAGAATTGATGGTGAATCCCCATATTTTCAGACAAAAGCCATCGAAAAAAATCGTGCTTATACTTATATATACTTATCTATACTAATATTTATCTCAATAATATCTCAATGATATTATATCCATGAAATTTCCCCATGCAATGGAGTGTATCCCTGTGTTTTTTTTTTGAAATCCCCTTTTTCAGGTGGACACTGTGGACACCACACGAATCTCCGGCCTCAGAAAGCGTTGCATGCCTTCACTCAGAGATGCCAGGACTGCTTGATGCACCGGAAAGCGCACGTCCTGCGATGTGGATATTCCAGGCTTCGGGAGATCAGTGAGGTCGTTCTAATTTACCAACATAGATGGGCAGTCTGGATGAATTACCATCTGGCTATGACTAACAGTTCGCCATGGAAAATCCACCCATTTTATAGCGAACGGTAAACCATCTATTTCTATGGGCCATCTATACCATGGCTACGTTAGTCATAACCAGAGGGTATAGTAATTCACTCCGTTAAATCGTCGGCTCACCTATTTTGGGACCGAGGTCGCCATCATGAGGTCGTCAGCAATGAATAAAGGCTACCCTCTGGTTATGTCAAAATAGCTATTGAAAATGGCCCAATCGAAATAGTGAGTTTTCCCATTGAAAATGGTGATTTTCCATAGTTATTATGTTAGTTTACCAAAGGGTAACAATGACAACCAACATATGGGGAGGTCATGAAGAATGCGGATGTAATTTATGATGTAACCAAAGCTTACCCAGGCTTCCGGAGCCTGGTTGACAACCTGTGTCACCATGTTTATGTTGGGGTCGGAAGACTGGGTCTGTTTGAATTGGGCGGATGGTACCCTCTGGTAAACTAACATAGCGAACTGGAAAATCACCATTTTATAGCTGGGTAAATCAACTATTTCTATGGCCATTTCCAATAGCTACGTTAAACACCAGAGGGTAAATGATGTTTGTTTCACAGCAAAAAAAAATGGCTGGTCTTCTGGTCCTTCATTGGGCGGCAATTCTGGGCTGATTGGTGACTTCTGGGAAAAATCGGTAAAAATCATTGGGACCATGGAAAACATCCCGTTTCTGGGCAGATGGAAAACAAAAAAGAAATTGAGACCATCAAGTGGAATATGAATTTACCCCAAATTTACAGCAGAATAGGCAGAATATCCCCAATGCTGCTCTGCGCATCCCAACGTTTGTTGAATATTTGGAACTACTGCCAGTCAAATCCCATGAGTTTGTCGGATACCCGCCACCTTCACTGGCTGATATCCCGAACGTGACATTCTCAAAAAAAGTGTTGGGCAACTGCCCGTATCTGCATGGTTCTATGTTGTACATCATCATCTAAAGGTGTAGATGTCTCTAATATCCTGTTCTGCAAATGTTCGAAGCCACCAACTTCCAACCCCAACATACCAACATACCAACCACCCCCCCAAGCCACCCCAAGCCTTCACCACCAGACAGACGTCAAAGAACTGACACGTCTGAAAGAAGCTGCGCACGTTCTCCGACAACGACGGGCCGCCCGAGCTGTCCGTGAGCTTCGGCAGGCGCACCTTCGGTGGTTCAGCGGCATCGCAAGTGGTGAGCTTTTTGGCCCTGCATTGACGCTGGGATATATCCCATTTAAAAGTAGTATATCATGTGGTTACATCAGTTCATCAGTTATGTGTCTACAGTACATATTTTCTATGTGTATGTGGTATGTGTATATATATATATGTGTGTGTGTGTGTTTTGGAATATGATGATTGAATGTGTTTACCCACTGATGATGTTGGAGGTTTCTAGACCCAAAAGCTTTGAACTCTACTGAAAAATGAAGGTCGATTCACCAGTCGGTGGCTATTTTTTGCCTGTCGTTCCTCCTGTTTCCTTATTGAAAAAGGGCATGACTAACCTTAGATGCCCTGCGCCAGAAGGATGCAAAAGGCTTATTTTTGACCTGGGGCAGGAAATCTTCCATTAAAATGGGTTACAAATGGTTACCCATTTGGGTATGCCACAAAAACGCGGGGGATGCTCAAAATTACAGTTTTAACAAGGATTGATTTTCCAAACCATGGAATGGATTTTGGGGTTCCAAGTTTTTGATACAACCCCATTTGGTGAATGAGAAGTTGTTGATAGGTAATCAGGTAATCATTGTCAATGTTGGATGGTTTCAGTTTCAATATATGTGTTTTTCAGTTCAGCAACGTTGGATAGTTCTGTGCCGGATGATATTGATTGGTCAATAGATTCCCATCAATTATCCCACTATTCCCATGAGATTCCCATCAAAATCCCATCATATTCCCATGGAAATCCCATCAAAATCCTGTAAAAAAACCATCAAAATCCCGTTAAAAAACCATCAAAATCCCATGGAAATCCCATGAGATTCCCATCAAAATCCCATCAAAATCCCATGGAAATCCCCCAAAAATTACCTGGTGAGATCTTCTGGGCTTCAGCCTTGGCACCTTCAGATCCGTGGGTTTCATCTCCAAGGACGATACGAGCCGCGTCGGCTCCGGCATCCGAACAGCGACGCTCAACGGTAGCGGAGGACGAAACGGGCGGCGGGTCGCGGCTCCGGGGCGGGGGTTCACGGCTGCGCGGCAGAAGCGGTCTTTCTCCCAGTGTACGGCTGATATACTAAGTATTGCTGGCTATATGTATACATAGATACATGTATGTGTGTGTATATATATATATATATTGTGCTTATACATGTTGATCATATGAAATGTGGAACCTGCTATGCCATGTAGAGTCCGTCACTTCCAGGATCAGCCCAGTTGGCGCGCATGAGAAACCATTGAAACCAGTGATACGAAACCATGACTCAAACACCATAAATTCAGGTATCTGTGCGGTTGAACCCTGCCATTTGTCATGGGGATAACCCGGATAACCCTGTCCCTTTTTCAGGTAAGCCTGCAATGATGGTTAAGGCCCCCCAAGTCCCAACCTCCTTGATGTCAGCGATGCTATCATCACAACCTCGGACTGTGGCGTTCCCGGCATAACCTTCGATAACAGATATGCAAAGGCTGTGGATATAGAAGGGCTATGGATGATTATGTATGTAATTTGAATATACAGTGTATGTATATTTACTGTATATATATATATACTGTGTATATATATATACTATGAAACTTCAAATATGAAGTGAATAGCAATGATATGCAGAAACTTGAGTACCCCTAATCGAATTTTGGGATACCTGTTCTAAAATAACGAGTCAAAACAATACACAAAGAAACGATCATAATGATCTTTGGAATCTTTGGGTCCCAAATTGGCCAAAGGATTCAGAAAAAAAATGGATGGACCAAGACTGAATATCTGGATCCAGGCTGAGTTTTCTGCCACAAGAAACATATGTTTCTACATCATGCCATTCCATCTCAAAGCTGAGAAGGTTTAGCAGTGACCACAGGGATTTTTTTCACCTCGTCGCCTCATCTGGGCATCCGAACTTTCAGCAAAGTCCTGCCGCCAATTTGCGTAAGTGATCGAATGGTTGGGTAACTCTTAAATATCATCTGGTTGGTGGTTGAGCCCTACCCCTCTGAAAAATATGACTTCGTCAGTTGGGATGATGACATTCCCAATATATGGAAAAATAAAAAATGATCCAAACCACCAACCAGTACAATATATGGAGGTTTCCCAAAATGGGGGGTACCCAATAACTGGATGGTTTATGATGGACAATCCGAAAATAAAATCGATGATGACTGGGGGTACCCCCATTTCAGGAAACCTCCATATACAGCTTGGGGGTTCTTTGAGAATTTGTGAACTTCATGGGTGAGGCACATCCTTCGTTTCTGCTCGTCCAAAGCGCGAATCACACTAAAGACACAAAGCCAAGATCCTTGCATGTTCCGCAATCTTTTGTTGGCAACAAGCTGGCCCGCGTAAGTCTTGGGGCAAATTACCCTCTGGTAATTTAACATAGCTATTGAAAATGACCATTTATAGTGGATTTTCCCATTGAAAATGGTGATTTTCCATAGTTTTTTGTATGTTTACCAGAGGGTATATCCTATTACTACTTGCGAATAAAGCCCTGATACCACGTGTCCAAAAAAAATGGCTTCACTGAAAGACATCCGGTGGTTTGAATCCCAAGATTGGTGTCTTGAGGTAATCACAATATATCTGGGTAAATTATAAGATTTCACTAACCTGAATTAAGGCCATTTGGGGATTATTTCCCTTACTAACCATGATTCCAGTGAGGGAGATCAGTGAGGTCGTTATAATTTGCCCAGAATATATTCCAACACATGCACCAACCAAAATAGACATGGACCATGTGGCACAGCCTGCAGCCACCTCAGGACGATGCTGCATGTTTCGTTCAAGGCTTTTTGGGGCAGCCATATCTTGTACATATCCGGATAGCCACATCAACTACTGTACTACCCATCATATTCATCATATCTTGGGAATTAAAGTGGCTAAGATGGACTTGCCATGTTTCTAGAGGAAATTTCAACCTGGAGTTCATCATCACCTCACCCAGCGGAACGCCTGCATCTTGTTGCGCAGCACCGCCATCTCGGTCTCGCAGCGCTGTTGCTCCTGGCATCCATGCTATTATGTAATAACCTTGTAAATCAGCTTCTTCATGATAACTTTGGAGAGTGATACCATTCCGTGTTTCAAATCATGGGATATTTTTTTCAACAAAACAGAATGCTGTTTTTTTGATCATAGTGGGATAGATGTTTTTGTCTGCCTCAAAAATAGCTGTCCCAAGAAAACCCCAAAGCCGCACACCAAGCAGATGCCGGAAGCCACATACGGGATCATGTGGGTCTGGGTCAAAGTTGCGCACCCCCAAAATGTGGTGGTTGTTTCGTACTAAAACTGACTCGAATTTGTCGTACGACATGTTGCCTCAGGACTGCAAAAAAGGACTCATCGCCTTGTGTTTTCCAGCCGAAACCTCCTTTTTTTCTTCCATATTTCATGGTTAAATCTCAGGGTTTCCCGCACCATTTCCCGATGTCATTTCAAGAAATCAAAATCTCTTCCAATGAAAGAGATGGGCTAAGTCACCCCCCCAATTTCTCAAAAAAAAATAGAAAACCAAACATTATGTGAATAAAACCCCCGTATGTATCATATATTTTCACGATGAAAAACCATCGGAAAACCATGTTTCACCGTAAAAAAAAATGGTTTTCCATAGATTTTCCCATCAGTTTCAGTGTACCCTCTGGTAATTTAACATAGCTATGGAAAATCACCATTTTTAATGGGTAAATCCACTATAAATGGCCATTTTCAATAGCTTTTTGTATGTTTACCAGAGGGTAAAAACCATGGAAAACCCAGGTTTCTCCACCGAGTTTCCCCGGAAACGTCCCGGGTCCTGGCTCCGTTGCGCCACCTCCGTCCGCAGCGCCACCAGGCCGCTGGAGGACGAGGACGACTCGAGGCGTTCGGCCAAGGCGCTCATGCGCTGGAGCCTCTGGTGATTGGGGATGTCGGAGCTGAAAACAGTTGTTATGTGGAAGATAGATAGATATATAGGTATATATGTAATATAGGTATACTGTATATATATATATATATTGGGACACCGGTATGTGGAAGATACAGGATGGAGCCCCCAAGATAGCGTTCAGTTGGTTTATAAGTGGCTGAAAAAACCATGGTTTATGGTAGATATAACTATAGTTAATGGGGATTATGATGGTTTGTAAACCAACTTATAACTGGGGGGGCCCATCCTGTACCCATTTATATGGAAACCCATCATCAGAACAGTTATTTGAACAGTTATTAATGTGGTGATGTCAACATATGAACCATATTATAATAGAACATAATATAAATATGAACATATACTTAACATAAGATTATGGTTCATAATTATACACGTTCATATAATAGTTGTTATTATGATAAATAATGTATTGGTCATAATATGGTTCATCGCCATTATCGTTTTGGTTTTATAAAAATGATGATATTGATGATGAAAATTTGATCGTTTTCGTGTTGAATATTAAACCAAATGATTATATTATATAGATATATATATATGATAACTATTAATCACCGTGAACATCTACTGTAATATGTCTGGTAATTATATATATATACATGTGTGTGTACACCAATCTGGTGATTAAAGCGGATGAACAAATCATGAATATCTGATATGGAAATATCATGACTTATCAACCAACTATATACTTGGAAGATAAACCCCTATTGCTTGACGATTATAGGTGACTCATGGGGATTGTACTGTCCAATATCTGTGTTGTTTAAAATCGAAATATCAACCAAAAAAAAGCATTAACCATTGGTTGTTTTTCATATATCATATAACTATTCGACTTAACTGTTAAAACATAGGTCTTGTGTCAACTAAACTATTAGCCATAAGAACCATATGATGGTTTTGGATACTAATTTTGACTACATATTCAACATGTGCAAAAGCAAATTGATTGAAAAGGGAATGTTCCCGAGGAAGAAGACAAACTACAGGATGGGGCGATAACTAAGTTGGTTTATAAGTGGCTTAACAATGGCTTATGGTAGATATAACTATAGTTAATGGGGATTATAATGGTTTGTAAACCAACAAACATCACTGGTGGGCCCCATCCTGTAGAATGTTGGACAGAAAAGTAAACAAAAATCAACAATTTCAGCTAGAAAAAAATGTAGTGGATGTTGTGAGTATAGTATAGAGTTCAGTTCTATCATTGGGTGGGTCTTTCCCCGAAATCGTTTTGAACACCAAAAACTACGATAAAATCAATGGAACAAAGGTTACGCCCGCCTGCAGCGGCCCGGAACAACTTGCATGTCTTCAACAGCGCTTACGACAAAAATATACAGTCGGAAAAGAATTTTGGGCAGCCATTTTGGGGCCATCATTTTAATCCCTTTTGAAGGGTATATACGCTATGCCCAATCATCAAGCCCAACGAGATGGGTTCAAAACCCCCAAAACGATTCCATGGTACTGGTTGGGTAACAGGATTCCCATAGTGGATGATCTCCAAAATAATTGGATAGAAAAAAACAAAAAAAAAACCTTGGGGGTTGATGTAGCAGCCACTGCTCAAAAAGGGTATCGTTGAAACAAATGGATCCCATTGATCCCATTGATATCTCCCCATAGTTATCTCCCCTGAGTATCTACCATAGTTTTTACCATGTTTTTACATGTTAGTTACCCTCTGGTAATGACTGTTACAGTTCGCGACATAGAAAATGACAGAGTCGAAATAGTGGATTTACCCAGCGTTCGAAAATGGTGGATCTTTCCCAGTCGTTTTTTGGGACTGTTTACCAGGCCGGGTATCCCATAATTTCTCCCAGAAGTCTCCATCAAAAAGCTCCTGGGGAAACCAATGCTGACTCTACCAGGCGGCTGTCCATCGACCCGCACTCGAAGACCGGCAACGGCAGAGGACAGGTCCTGGGTCGGGGATATCGTGGGGATAATATATATATATATCAAACACCAATGGGAGATCATAAGACCGGGAGAAAACAGTGTATATCAAAATCTATATTCATATTTATATATTTAGATATTATATATATATACACACTGCACATGATATAAAACCTATGGGAGATAATCTTGCAATACTTGGAGGCGCACTTGCATTTATAGGTGGATATATATATCACCATAGTTTTTTTGGGGCCCATATCCCAGCTTATGGGGCCCAAAAAAATCCTATCTTTATAAACAGTGGTAACCTCAACTGCACTGTAAAGGGGATATAATTCAATGGGAATTCCAGGATCCTAAAATGGAGGTACTGTACCATATAAGGCCATATTTTGTGGGGATATTCCCTTACATAGGCCTTATATAGGCCTTATATATGGTAGGTACCTCCAATTTAGGTTCCTGAAATGGACACTGAATAATGCTATGTTTTGGAGCTTATAATTAGGATACAATCGAGATATAGATGTGTTTTTTTAATTTTCCAAATGATCTTTTGGGGTAACTTCAGACACACCACCGTTCACCGTTCTTTGTGGATGAAATCCCAGGTTTAAATCCCAGGTTTCATCGCGGTAAATCCCACCGTTTTTGATGCTGAAAACCGCAAGGCTCCCATCCCGTCCCGCCTGAATCTGCCCTGAAGTCTTCCGTTCCAAGGCCATCAAGCCACGCTCCGAGGCCGTGGACTGGCGACTGTGGAGGCTTCGGTGTCGGTAAGTCATTTTTTTGGACCATGGTTTTCATAGCTATGCTAGGTTTACTGGAGGGCAACCCCAAAAGGATGCAAAAACTATTGACATTTTCTAGCACTGAATTTCTGCATTGGTTATTTTTCGAATTCTGCATCTGTTTGGGGAGGCTGTACTGACAAATAAAGGTACAAGCCCATACATCCATCCATCCCTCTCTCCGTTACAATGGCATTGCATTACCTGACATCAAAAAAATGAAACTCGAAAAACGGGAAAAACAAGAAAAAACAAACAAACTTCAGAACGACTGGACAGAAATCTCAAATAAAAACTGTAGAAATTGTTTAAAAAATAAAAAATCAAAACAGAAAAACCATCCAAAATTATACTATAATAATAATTTAAAAACAAAAACGTAGAAAAATATCAACCTCACCCAGAAAAATAAAAGGTTGGCTCAGGGTCTCAGGGTCAACCCCACAGCTGGCCTCCCTGGCATCCTCGCCATCTCCTCCCAGCAGATAAAAGATGATTTTATATGGAAAAAATCAAAAAAACTCATCTGAATGGAAGATCTTTAAAAAAATGGGATTATTTGACATTGGTTAGATCTTCCGATATTTGATTGTTTGAATATTCATGTATCTATAAAATGGGATTATCTGTATGTGTGTATCTTTGGAAAATGGGAAGATCTTTGAAAAAAAAAACTATTTTGGATCTACTTCAAGATAATCATCTACATTTGTAGATAACCACATGTATCGGTGATATCTTGTATATCTATGTCTATATCGGATGCTAGTCGCTCGTGAACTAGGATGCACATCACCATTTACAAATGCACAGAGTCGTTTTGCGCTAAAGCAAACAAACAGGGCAAGGATTGCAGATGTTTATTGTCATTTCAGAGTTATAGCGAACATTAGCTACCTCCACAAACGAACAATATCATATGCCTCTCCAGTCAGGGCTCAAAATGTTTTAAATTCATTAACACACCATGTCAAGGTTTGCCCTGCAATGATCTCATGCACCAATGGCAGTACATTGAGCATCGCAGTGAATAGAATCATTAAATACCCCCTCTATTCCTCGCTAACCAACGAGGCTTCTCTCCAGGTTCCGAAAACTGAAAATTAGGGAGACAAAAAAAGGAGCATGTCCTAAAAATCGGGTTTAACATACATCTAATCTAATGGATTCAGGGACTAAAAGAACTAAAAATAGAATTAGTGATTAAGAGGTTCATGTCTTTTCCAGAATATTCCCATAAAATGCTGGCGACTGACAATTGCAGTAGCTATAGTAGTGATGGAGGACATTGGTAAAACACATAAAACTACGCTGGTATGTTTTCTTTTTATGCTCAACATCCACATTATGAATGACTTACTTGGCCCATGATGATCATATTTCTTCCATAATTTCTGAATGAGATATATACCTTCTGGTAAACGTTTACGTAACTATGGAAAATCACCATGCTATTAATGGGTAAATCCACTATTTCAACTGGGCCATGGCTTCAATAGCTATTTTGACATAACCAGAGGGTATTCCTTCACCAAAAAAATGTCTGGGACGATTCCCCCTTTTTCTAAACCATGGCAGGACCATGGTGATCAGCTCGCCCTGTCCTTGTGGATGGCCAGTTGAGAAGCGACGCAGACCCTCTTCCACCTGAGGTTGACAACAGATTCCCCAGCACGAATTCTGATCATCAACCAGTTTTGGATCGGATGATCATCCAATTTTTGTTTTCGATCATCCTCAACCCGGTGTTGGATAATCCCCGATCAATTGTGGTAATCAAGCGTTTTATGATAATAATTGGATACTACAAACCGATATTTTTTCATCAATCAACAGGGATCAAGGACAAAATGCTGAAATTATATTACAATACCTGCTGAAATGATCCAAGGAGTAAGTTCCAGTTGATGTCCTCCAAGAAAAGATGGTTTCTGAAATTGCCACTTTGTGGAATTGCTGTGGTATCACAACCAAAAACGCTCCGGCTGCGGCTTGATCGAATTCTTTCAACCTGACCATTCAGAAACAGCTGCGGTATGGGAATCCCACTTAAAAATCCAGTTCAGTGATTCCCAACTATGTGCATGGCGTGCATGGCATTTGATTGTTGTATTACCCTCTGGTAAACTGTCACATAACTATGGAAAATATTGGAAAATCACCATTTTCTAGCTGGCTAAATCCAATATAAATCACCATTTTCAATAGCTATTTTGACATAACCAGAGGGTATAATAGGGGCATTTCCTAAAAAACCGGGGCTTCCCGTGTCGCTTTTCCATGACCAAACACGACCAAGAACCTGGATGACTTCCATGGATCGAATCCTGGTGAAAGATGGGATTCCCAGTCCTGGATGATTACAAGAAACCCCAAGAAGAGTACCCACTGGTGAACATACAAAAAACTATGGAAAGATCCACCATTTTCAATGGGAAAACTCACTATTTCTATGGCAATTTTCAATAGCTATGTTAGTTTACCAGAGGGTACTGCGTTTTTCCAAGGTAACATTAGTCATATAAGCAACAGGAGAAAAAAAAATGTGTTGTATAAGTATTAAAAAGTGTGTCCTAATAGTATTTACCTAATAATAGTAATATAAGAGCTGTTGGTTGATGTTACCCTCTGGCAAACATACCAAAAACTATGGAAAATCACCATTTTATATGGCTAAATCGACTATTTCGACTGGGCCTTGTTCCAGTTCGCAAATTGTAAACGTTTACCGTTTACCACTGGGTAGGTCAATAAGCCCCGAAACGAAGATATCATCAACCGCCCACTCCTGGAGCTTTCCCACCTGCATCTGGAGAGCTGCCAAGGCAGTTTCCGAGAAGTCCTGCCATGGGGGACGTGTTTCGTGATGTTCAGGGTGGAACTGTTAAATTTACCAGATGGTAGTAATAGAATTATAGAATCTAGATTTTGGCTTATGATATCTTATCAAGATAAAAATTGAAGCGTAGAATTATCAACAGGAATCAGCATGAAATAGACAATATTAGTAATAGTACTAAGAATAGCAGCAAGAAGACACATAAATGATGTCAAGATAACATATAACAACACATAGTTAATATAATATAATGTAGTTATTAATAATAGTGTTAATGATATAATATAAGAATACTATACTATACTATATTCATATGATAATGATAACAACACATGGTGAATACTCCCTGGCACTCGAAAGGAAGCCGTGAAAATCCCCCCACTTTCCAGACTCGCGAAATTCCCTGTTTTCTTGGGATTTCATCCTCATTTCTTTGCTCAAATCCACTTCTTGCTTTATCCTTGCCCACATTCTGCTTTAAAAATCCTCTAAAAAATCCCAAATTCTCTTGGCAAATCCCATCATAAATCCTCTCCAATCCCCTAATTCTCTTGGTTCATGAATCATATTACAGTACCATCTGGTTATTTAACATAGCCATGGAAAATCACCATTTTTAATAGGTAAACCATCTATAAATGGGTCATTTTCCATGGCTATGTTAAATAACCAGAGGGTAATCCATCTCTTGGATTCATTCATCCATTTTCACTGTATCCATCCCCCTTTTTCCGGCCACGCCCGGCAAACCGCAACCACCGAAACCCCGCCTGCCGCTCTTCCAACTTCCGGAGCCGGGCGTCCGTGGAGGGGGACTCGCTGGGTCTCAGCTGTGACCTGCAAGGACAGCTCCTGAGTTGTGATATATCAGTACATACATACATACATATATATATATATAGATATATAGATATTGGATATCAGATCTTAGATATTAGATATGATATAGATATTAGATATTAGATATAGATATAGAGATTAGATATAGATACAGATATAGTTGTAGATATAGTTATAGTTATAGATATAGATTAATATGGATCTACTAATACACATCTGATTTATATAATGTCGTTATATACATATATGTATGTATGTACATTCCATAAACGACTGGGGCCGCAATCTTTGTGTATCCTCACCTGCTCCCGGAACGATGTTGGGCCAGCTCGCCAGCCTCGACGCTGTGGGGGGCTAAGGTATATGACCTCTATTGTGGCTATATAATGACATGATATGTAGATTATATATATATATACACGTATGTAATCGTATGTATATGTATAATTATGTATACATGCATACAATGATGATTGATAAGTGCAACTGATATCATTCCCATGCCCCAAAGAAAAAAAACATTGTATGGTCTGAAATATGTGGTTGCATCCCCTACGAAACCATCGTTTCTCGGGTTTCATATTTAGGGGAAGGGATGACATATGTACAATGATGATGTATACGATTCGATAATGATTGTACACTTGTAACTTTTGCATGGTAAGCCCTAGAATGAAGCGTTCCCAATTCGATTGGCGGGGTTGCTGTAAACCAACATCAGAGTTGGGCTCCATTTGCCGCGATTGAATGGCCTCCATGTTATCTAGAAAAGGATACACACCAATGCCATCCAATACCAATCATATCCAATGATGGTAAATGGGTATGTCATGATGTATACGTCATAATACGTCACGGGAAGGTGGTGGCGAAGCGTGTAGGTTTTGATACCTCTTTTGATAGGTTCATACATCACCAGGACTTGGAGGTTCCAGTTGAGACCATCCCATATAAACCCACGTCAAAATAACAATATCTATAGTACTAGCACATATATATATAATTATCTATATGCATGATATGTCTAGGTCTACATTCCTTGAAAAAAATACTGTAAACACGCGTGCCGTGCTCAAACCGAACCCTGAGCCCAGCACAACTCGGGTGTGGAGCTCCTGCTCAAGTCCCAAACGCGCGAGCCGAGATTGGAGTTATACTCTCTTGGTTAGACACGGATTACTCCAAGAATGCCATATAATTTCATCTCATAGGCTAGGAATTTAAAACGCTTATACGGATTAGGTAGGAGAGATTAGGTTGGAGAGATTAGGTGAATCAATCGTGGGAACCGAGAATTTTTGGGGAAAAAAAAAACAGGACAATCAAGTTACCCTCTGGTAATTTAACATAGCCATTGAAAATGGCCATTTATAGTGGATTTTCCCATTAAAAATGGTGATTTTCCATAGTTTTTTGTATGTTTACCAGAGGGTATACCAAGTCAAAAGGCACTGCTCCAATTCCGGGGTGTTCTGAAAAAACCTACAGGACAATTCTTGCCGCAATGGCCTGCTGAAAACTGAGACACCATAGCAAAGAGCAACCACGGAAAGCATAGGTATAAAATATGGAGAAACTTCTAGTTGAAATATATTAAAACTATATAAAAACTAACTAAATAATCATATAATCATTAATTAGCCATAATAACTATATTCATTCACCATAGTTTTTTTTTTAGTTCGGCTATCTTGGGATAGTTCCCCCACCCGGTGGAGTTGGAATCCCAAGGGGAATCCCGAAGGGGAATCCCAAGGGGGATTGATGCAGCCCTTGGTCAAATCGGGGGGTACGGTAGTACGGTACCATCAAACATGTGGCTTTAACATGATTTAACCATCCTGAAATGGGTGGATATATATATATATACGTATATATATATATATATCCTGGTTGGTGGTTGAGCCCTACTCTGAAAAATATGAGTTAGTGAAAGTCAGTTGGGATTATGAAATTCCCAACATATAGAACAAAAAAAAACGTTCCAAAGCACGAACCAGTATATATATATATATATGATACATATGTAGCCAATATAACATCGAATAGCCCTCAAACAAAGCCTTGATTTAGTTTTGGGAGTCGCGTGTATTTCATCCGGGGATGGGATTACCACAGACCCACCCGCAGTGTTTGCCAAATCGACACTTTTTGCTGGTTCAGTCCAGGTAATCCGGTAGATACCAGCTCTAACTACTTCACAATGCCAGATTTCTTGGAGGGATTTCAATCCAGATTTCTTGCTGACCTCTACTGAAGAAACATGAAATCCCTCCAGCAATCCAATGTGGCACTGGAACATTCCAAAAATTATCCCATTTATCAATGTGGTTCCATTAACGGTGGGTTTCCAGCAAACCATGTTAACCCTAAGTTTCCACCTCATAATAATCATGATGTCTTACGCCCAATAACAAACCCAATGAGTATTGTTATGTACATAATACCCCCAAATGGCAAAATCTGGTACCACCTCCTAGCAAACATAGACCCTGCCAACTAGGGGGTGTTGGAAGATTACTTTCCACCCTTGTATATTTTTAATGTTCAGGGTCAAGCTGTTGATTTGGGGGATGGTAATGAGATTTTGGTAGGTACTGATTTATGAACTTGTGGATACTTTTGGTAATTCACGACTATGCTTATTGTTTGGCCTACTTGGTGGCTCATCCCAGTTTGTAGGTTACACTGAGGTGAACTACTTGTGATTCCTAGGTCGCAAGGAGAATATATGGGAAATTCATATAGAAATATCTATGCTAATATCTAGATATATAGGGAAGTTAAGTCCAAAAAAAATTGAACATATATTACCCATATCTATTGTATATATATATACTGTATTCATATTCATATGTATTGATGCACCGTAATATTCCCAAGTTTTGTGGTTGCGAAATCACCAGGCTCGAAGCGAAACTCCGAAAGTCCTCCAGGCTTTGTTCCCAGCGTCTCTGTCGTGCCACCTGCAACGGGGAGATTCTCTGGCAATAAACTTTTAATGGGAAAATCATCAAATTATGGATATGGTGTGTATAAATATATATATATGAATATGATATATTCTCTGTATATTGTTTGATTATACCCATATTTAATCACATAATGGTGGATGAATGGTGAAGTTTTCCATTACTGGAGGCCACACCTCTGTTTATCCAATCGCAGTCCCCCGATTTTTTCATCCACTGGCACAGTGGGTTGGGAAGAACCTAAGACATCCCAGCTTCTGGAATGACCAAAACCAAAACACACCGAATTTTTCGCAAGGCAAGGGGAATACCTCCGCATAACCGAAGATTGGAATTCCGTGACATTTTCAATATCAACAGATTGGTGATCATTACACCAAGATACTCATGCCTTCACCCAATGATTGCAGAAAGCTTCAGGCTATTTATCGTTGCGATGATGAGAAAACCCATCTCAATGTGCCCATCTCACTGCTTCAAACATGTGGCAATCAAACGTGGCAATGCATTTTATCCACCATTTAGTTCGATGATTTTCCCAGCTAGAAACCTCCATGAAGATATAGGATTTTCCAGCTAGCCATGTTAGATTACCACAGGGTAACCAACAAATGTGCTAAGGATAGTTGACACAACTCTACGATAGTCTCATCGAACCTCTTAGTGGAAAATCCCATCAACAATTGTGGCGCTTGTCCGTGAAATGTTCCTCTTAAAAAGCAGGAAATCCAAACCAGCCAGGTTAGACTGTCAGGGGGGGTTCATGTTTGTGATGTGTGAAAAGCCGACTGATCAGGATGCAAATCCGTCGTTTCTTATTGAATCTTTCAATATTCAAATCATATGATGTGTGTTCATAGATAAAATATGCTCGTCAGTTGGGATGATGACATTCCCAACTGAATGGAAAAATAAAAGCTATGTTCCAAACCACCAACCAGATAGTCGTGTCATCTGTGTCTGATAATAGAGTACCGCATAAATTCATGGTCTTAGAGCATAAATTGTCCCATTAAAATTGCATCTTTGGGGTGCATCTCACATTTGGGCAAACCCATCTATCATAAGGTTGGTTGCATCTTCCATAAAACCTCTCACCATATCGCAATATGTGGAATCCGATGATATCTCACACGAAAATCCAATGACCATATGTTTGATGGTTAAATCCCATAGAAATTCCCAGTAATTAAATGATATATCATGTATTATTGGCGAGTATTCCCCATATATCCCATGAAAAAAATATCCCCTTAAATGACCATTTCATACCATTTCTTATTGAACCTTACGCCGCTCACGGCCACCAATCCTGCCGTTCGCCTGGCGTCGTTGGAACTCGTCCAAGGCGGATTGCGACATGCGACTCTGGTGTTCAATGGCCTGCGGCACAAACCCTCGGAAAATGCTAGGTTTCTGGGCAAAAATCAGCGTTACCGTAAGTTCCGTTTTAAAAAATGTTATGGGAAAATCATGGAACTAAATGGAAATGGAGAATGTGTTTGATGACACCGGAAGGTGGCAGAATGGCAGCAGCCGATTTGTTCCACCAAAGTTGTTCGGTGGTTGAGCCACCTTGTGTTAAATGTGAAAGTCAATCGGGGAAGCATTCTGCTCAAAGAAAAGTCCGGTGTCCGGATGTCTCATGCTGGATCTCTCATCGCATGGTACAGCATTTTGGAACCGCTGTTCTCATTAAAAGTAAATATGTTTACTGGGTCGAAAGTCACTGTCATCTTACCATAGATATATATATATACCCTACGCATTGCAAGTCCAAAAAAAAAACAGCCTTGTGTTTCTCACAGATAAACTTCACCCAAAAAGTGAGGGGAGTAGTTATATTTAGATAGAGTTAGTAGTACCACTCAAAAAACACCGAAATTATCCCATCAATTACCCTCTTGTAATCAAACATGGAAAGTGTAAACTCTCTAGAAATTGTGTTTTAATCGGAAAATCCTCTACAAATGGATGTTTTTCCATTGCCATGTTTGGTTACCAGAGGATATCAATACGTCACCAAAACGAAATAGGATTGTTCCATACCACGTAGGGTTAGTTCGGTGAGTTTTACAAAAGGAAACACCCAAATTATCCCAAAGACGTGTCAAAATTTCGCCAGAATTTCGCGACCTGGATTTGAGTGCTCAGCTCGTTGAAACGCTTCTCGCTATCCTGGCGGCAGCCAAAAACTTGAAAGATCACAAATGATGTAAGGATATGTAGCTAAGTCATTGGATTGGTTTAAGGGAAAATCTTAACCGGAAACCATGGTTTTTACCATTAAATATGGGGGTTTCCTGTAAATTTTCCCGCAAACCAACCTAATGACTAAGTGCATAAAGCCCAACTTTTGGGGGAAACATACGAAAGTGAAGGATCTGGAAATCCAACGCCCTTTCCGAATACCAATCGACCCTTTTCGCAGGGGGACCCACCACGAGATGGCCAATCCGGGCCCGGATTGGAACCGGTGCTACTTGGTCATATCCCCTTGTTTGTTGGTTCAAAAAAAACAGCAAACGGATAGGCTGTACTCACACGTATAAGTGGATTCCAATCATGCTTACCAAACACTTAATCTGTTCTTGTCGTTTTGTTGGTCATATCACCATGTGTATTATTAGTTTACCATCCCCAGTTTGGCTGGTTCAACCTCATGTTTGACATCCCTATCGCATTCTATCCGATTTTTTTATCATAAATTTCCCCTTTTTTAGTACCACAAGATTTGCCGCAAAACAGATGAAAAGCCTTCATTTTTGGACAAACCCATCTGTATCATTGGTTGTGTATCCCATTCTTCATATGGGGGTTTCCTAAAGTGGGGGTACCCGGGTACCCTTAAATCATCCATGTTATTTTCGGATTGTCCATGAAATAAACCATCCAGCTATTGGGGTACCCCCAGTTATGGATACCTTCATATGTTCATTGTCCACTATAACCCATATATGGGGTATCCATAAATGGACAATCTATAACCATCTAGAATCTATAACCCATAATGGACAAAACTGTTATAACCATCTACAAGCCACTTTTCATTGGCCAATCCTCCACTACCCGCCTTGACAGGTTCATTGCGGCGCTGGTCGAGCAGATCTAAGCGCTGCCTCCGGGTGTGGGAGTTCACGTAACAAAAAAAACTGGGATTCCCATGGGATGTGGAGAGCCATGGATGTTCATCCCATGAGTCCATCCAAATTACCCTCTGGTAATTTGTTACATAGCGAACTGGAAAATCACCATTTTTGATGGGAAAATCCACTATAAATGGCAATTTTCAATAGCTATGTTAAATTACCAGAGGGTAAAAATTTTGGTTCTGATGACATTCCATGTGGCACTCAGATGGAATCTTGATGGCACACTGCGAAAAATCTTGGCTGAATCATGTTTTTTCTTCAAGAATATGAGTGATCTTTGGGGACCATCATTGCTCGAAATTCATCTCAGTTTCTTTGAAAATTGGGGACATCCATCCCATGATTCATCAATACCCTCTGGTAATTTGTAACATAGCTATTGAAAATGGCCCAGTCGAAATAGTGAGTTTTCCCATGAAAAAAGGTGGATCTTTCCATAGTTACGTTAGTTAACCAGAGGGTATTCCTCATGATTTTCCCGAGAAAAATTGCCAACACTGTGCCCACCGTCCCAAGTGCCTCAGGCACTGAACATCTTCCAGCAGTCCGGTGACCGTTCCCTGCAGGGCGGCTCCCATTGGATAGCCCAACTTTTACACGCAAAATGATGAGAATCCCATTGGAATTGGGAGGACCCTAACCAATCAGAAACCAATGTTCTAGCAAAATATATAGACATGTCCAGGATACAACTGGAATTCATGAAATTTACTCCCTTGCCCCATGAGCTCATTGAGAAATTTCGAGGGGATCTGTGGCTTCGGCTCCATGATTTTGCGCCTCACCGGCGATTCGGCCGATGGACACCCCGTTGGGGGTCGGGTGCGACCAGTTGACTCGCCCATTCCGTAAAGGATAACATGACGAGATGACTCGATTTTCCATGGCTAACCTTAGCAAATCTTAGTGTATCTTAGTGGCGTATGATGGGAGATCCCTCCAGAAAGAAAAGGCTGAAATTCGTCAACAAATCCAGGACCAATTGATGGAGAGACCTGAGAATCATCATCCCCCCAAATTGCGTCACCACATACCTACATCGAACAGCAACATCCATCACTGTCTAATTTCACACATATTTGCTATGCCGTTTGCCTTGCCATTTGCTAAACGGCCGCCATGTCAACGCAGTCTTTCACGCGCTTCAGTCGGTTTTCTCGTCTCTTTTGGATCGCTTCAGCAACTTTCTCCAGTGCGTTGCCACGAAAGTGGCATTCACTCCAAACCTGGGTCGAAGTAAGGCAGCAAGGTGGCGACATCAAACAAAGCAGTAGGAAAAACATAAAATGTGAATATCATGGCATTACAAATTGCAATATTATTTCTATCTATCTTTCTATCTATCGATCTATCTATCTATCTATCCATCCGTCCATCTATCTATTTATTTATATTGAGAACCTGGTTCTTCACTGGCAGCCAATCTCCAAAATCTCAAATGCAAGTTGAAGGCCCTTGTTTTCCCTCAAGCGCAGCACAACGATCTTGGAACTCCGCACAGCAGCAAAACTCGGATGCCAGTGGATGGCAGTTGCAACAAGGTATGTATTGCTGGCCACAGCAATGGAAAGACCGTCCACGGTCCTATGGCACCAAGCTACTTTCCACGACCCACCCTCCGCAAGGGCTGCCTCAGCCTAAAGTGGCTATGGCGAAGAGCATGCTCATCCCCTGAATGGAAGCTGGTGATTACCTGATAACAGACTGGGATCAGTTATGGATTCACACTCCCAAAAGAAGATTTTTCAAGGCTTTGTTTCTTCGCTTTCTTGATTGGATTGAAGCCATTTGATTCTGTTCCGAGTGCATGCACGTTCTTTCAAAATTTCTTTCTCATCTTGAAGGCTGTATTGGCCTAGCTGGAGGGTGTGACGTAAGAAGTGGCTCTCCATGATCTTCGTCAGTGCATCGGCTAATTGAGCACCACTGTGCACCCACCTCAATGTCGTCCCTTCAGCTAAGAAATCTTTGATCGCACGCGCTTGCAGTTGTGTCCTGAACTCTTGGCATGCTGGAGGTGCTGTTCTTGTTACAAGGTCATACAGTGACTTGCAGTCGGTCACGGCAATGGATGGATCAGCTTTGAATGTGGCAGTGGCATATGTTGGCGGTAATGTTTTGAGGGTGTTCGTGGGATTCTTCCAATTTGTCTTGGGGTTTCGGATCCAACTCCAAAATAGCCTAAGCCATGAAAGTTGATCAAGAGTGGTACTTAAAGAAGTTGTTTCGGCTGACAAGGTACTGGTTACAACTCGTTGTATTTTCTTGCAACCCCAGCTGATAGGGTTTACGGGGCACACATGATTTTTGGCAATATCCTCGTGTGTTGCCATGATCATCATTCCAGTATGTGACTCTGGTTGTTTTTGAGATGCAAAGGAGGCGTCAGAAAAGGCTAGAAACCTTATTCTCTCCATGGGTATTGATTGGATTCTGATGGTGGTATTCTTGTGTCTTTTTGCTTCATGAAGGACTTTGTTTCCCTGAATGAGAGTTTCAATGGTTGCTTTGTTGATGTCACTTTGAAGAAAACTGAGTCTACTGGATAAATCAGGTCTGGTATTGACTGATGCATACTGAAGGGATCCGATTAAGGCCCGGAGATCTTGGCGTTCACGTTCGGTGACTGGCAAGTCGAGTTGAGCTTTTCTCTGTGGCTGTATGTGGATGGGATTTATTTTTGTGATGTATTTCTCTTGTGACATTGTTATACTGTGATCATTGTTCTGGGTTAATTCAATTCCGGTGAACACAAAATTTTGGGACTTCTTGGATCCAAACGGAAATTTGTTCTCAAGTTTTTGAAGTTGGGCTAAGAAATAAGCATCTCCTCCACACAAACCATCATCAACATGTATGCCTAAAATTCCAGAGGGTTCGGCGGCATTCTCCTTGTATAATAGGTACAAACATGGATCGAATGGTGATGGAATGAAATTGAGGGCCCTTAAGGTCTTGTCCAATTCTGTGAACCAAAGAAACGGGGCATCAATTAATCCATAGGCAGATTTCACCAATCGGCACACTTCAGTGGCTTGGAGCTGCATGGCAGCACTCATCTCGGGGACAGGCTCGATTGCAATCACTCGACCTTCCTGAGTCTTCCCTTGCAGGAACGCAGCTTTGATGTCGAATGACATGAGTGTCCATCGCATTGAAGCAATGACCTGGGCAATCAACATTTTAGATGTTCTTCCCAAAGTTGGACTATCTCTAGGAATTGTATCTAATTGGGGATCCTGAAAACCGAGAACAACTAGTCTTGCTTTGGCTTTTCTCATTTTTCCACCATTGGCCTTTTGGTCGGCAATTTCTGTGAGGGGCTTCCAAACATACAGCCAGCGGCATCTCAAGATTTGGCTGGGAGACAACTCATGTCTAAACATCTTCTCAACGGTTCCTGTTTGGAGCCAGTTTTGAACTTCTTTGGCTTTCGCGCCTTCAAATTCCAAACGTTCTTCTGGAGTCAATGTGCTCAGTTTCACTTCAGTTCTCTGCTTCTTGGCGTTGGTAGCCAAAAAGAGGAATTCTTCCTCTGTAGGACATTCTTGGGACTGGCACGCTGATTCCACCTGGTCTTTGGAAAAATCCAGCTCGGCACGCCAAACGGAAGTGTCCCCTTCCGGACACAAATTCTCATTTGGATCATCATCTATGCATGTGAGCAGATCGCACAAGAGCTCGTCGCTAGAGTCATCAGGGATTGGGATTTCATGTGGTGCAAGTTCTGATTCATTTGGGTTATTAGGGTCATTGCTGGGACTAGTGGAATTGGAATTATGAGCATGAGGTGAGTTGGCATTTTCAGGCTCTTGGTCAGGTTGATCTGATGAGGCATGGCTGGTGGTTCTTGGGTGATTATCGGAGGTTGTCTGCATGTTGTCACCTGGTGGTATGTTCATATTGGAACTTGTCATTTGTGGGTTAACAGGATTCTGATTGGGGTTATTGGAATTGGTAGTATCACTGTGGATGATTTTCAATTGTTCTTCCAGGGGTATGAGCTGAGCTTCCACTGCACTCACAGGACGTACATGTTCAGGAGCTGCACGAACCAGTGTACCAGAGTTATTGCAAAAAACTGTGGTGGCTCCTTCTTGGATAACTACTTTGGCTGGTCCTATCCATGATCCCTGATTCAAGTGTACCTTCCAAATCATCACCCATTCTCCTGGTTCGTAAGCACCTCGTGAAGGTCGATCACGGCGCAGGGCTGCTCTTCGCAAGGACATGTCATTGTCTGCAGCGTGGAATGCCTTCCTAGCAGTTTCCCTTTTTGCAAGGAGCTCTCTAAACCTGACACCTTGGTGACCTTCTGCATTGGCAATGGCATGTGCTGGTAAGGAATCATCGCTCGCCAGTGATCCTGGAACTCGAAGGCCTTTGCCAAACACCAGAGTTTCTGGTGAGTATCCATGCCTCAATCCGCACGCATTCTTGGCCATGGTGCTGTGCATCAGGGCTTGTTGGAGTTGTTGATAATTCGTGACATCATGTTCAAGCTCATATTTCCCCAGCATGTTTTGAAGAACTCCACCGTGGCGTTCAATGCGGCCAACTTGCCAGTGAGCATCTGGTGGCACTACCACAAACTGTACATTCATGCTCTGCATGTATTCCTGGAAGCTTGACGACAGGAATTCGGATGCAGAGTCCATCAATACAGTATTAGGGGTACCTGCCCAGTTCAACCATCCTGAAATGAACCTTTCTTGGATTTCTGCTCGATTTGGGGCTATCACTGCGGTATGATAGTTGGTACCATGATCAATGAAGTGATAGAAATGGAATTCTTGGTTTTGTCTGTTTTTCCACTTAACCCCATCAATCGATACCTTATCCCCAAATTCAAGTTCTTCCTTGAGAGTGGCTGGACGCTGCAACTTCGGGCGCTGTTGCATCTGGCATGTTGAGCACTTCAAATCCAGTACCCCTTGATAAAGTTCTGGACTATATCCTCGCTGTTGAAGGACCTTGCTAAGCTTCTGAGGATCAGGGTGGCCTAGATTCTTATGCAATCGGATGGCTATCTTCTTATTTTCTGGGTTCATGCTCATGAATTTTGGGCCATGTTGAGTGCTGGCTTCATCGATTGCACTTGGGTCTAGTGACTCATGGCTGGGTTCTGGATTTGGCCTCTGCATTGGTCTGACATCAGGAGTCTCTTCGGCTGGAGACACTGCTGGTGGTCCTGATTCAGGCCTGTCAGTAGTTGGCCTTTCCGAGGCCAAGGATTGGTCTGCATTGGCTGGCTCGGATGCTTGAATTCTCACGCTGGCTACGCTGGGATCATGTGCATCTGGATTGCGAGCAAAAACTGTTATATTCAGGAAACTGGGATGAGAGCGCCTCCATAACTGCCGGTTTGAGAGGTATTTCCACTCCTCCCACTGGTCTTCCACCAAAACCCTTTTTGAGACTCTCTGTACTATGATGGCTCTTCGGAAAGGGGCCTCATCTGGTACTAAGTCTTTTGGGGGCATTATTGTTCTTTCAGTCCCCTTGCATGCTATAACTCGTACAATCTGCTTTTCATGGAATAACTCTTGGAGGTCAGCAAGTATTTGAAGCTGATCGATTTCTTTCCGACCTACCCGGGGGGCTACCTGGGATATCTGGGAACAAATACGATCACACAGGCTGTTCATGCTTGTGGCTTCTGGGGCTTTTCCAGAAGTTCTTCTTCTTTTGGCAGGCATTTCGGTAGGCTCAATCAATTCGCTGTTTCTCAGTTTAGCTCGTTTCGAAGGAGGTGCACTGGAAGCACTGCTTCTGCGTTTGGTATCAACGGCAAATGCATTCGCAAAGGCAAATGGGACCTCTTTGGCACATGATATTTTTGTGAGGACTTTTGCAAGAGCTCGAGCAAATTTCCGGCTATACCTTTCAGAAAATTCTGTTCTCCTGATTCTGATACCCCTGAAAACGGTCTCACCCGCTAGTTGTTGATGTTCATGTTGATGGTTACATGTTCGACCGTGAAATTGGGAGTAAAACTGTTGGGACGTGGTGACAATCTCCATTCCTTTCTTGTACAACAGTTGGTTGACTGGATCTCTCATAAGTCCAACACGACACATGTCAAACTCTGTGACCTGGGTACCTTGGATGACCTCTTTCAGCAATGGGGTCCTCAACATGATTGACTTGGCTGGTTGCTCCCAATGCATATGACATCCTCGGCGGACTTGGTGGCGGTATAAAACCAAACCTAAGGCCAACTGGTACAGGTTTTCGTCCCTGAGTCCTTGAATCCTTTGAAAGCTGGCTTCGCTCTTGGATTCGTTCAGGTGACTCCAGGCGCACCATGGCCCACATGTTGGACTATACCATATATGTTTGGGATTACAGGCATGGATCTTCGTGAACAAACGTTCTCTCCCTTCTTTGGTGGAAACATCCCCTTCTTGGTATCCAAACCTCACAGCTCGGTATCCCATGTTGTTCACTTGCTTGGTGAGTTCACTTTGGGGACCACAAAGAACTTCCATTACCTGCACCATTGGCTCGGAACGAATGCTTGGCTTTGATGAGACTTCGTGCATTTCTTTGGTAAATTGATTGACAAGTGATTGGAATTTCTTTTGACGGTGATTCATTTGGTTGCTATGGAAGTTGATGGACTCAAAGTCTTGATCTATGTCTCCTGCCAAACACAAATAGTCCATGGGACCTCTCACTGCCCGGGACGCAAGAGGCTCAGGATCTCTGTCAGGGCATTCTCTACGGCGAGAACTCGGTTCTGCATGGCGTTCATGTCTTCCTGGTATTGCATGGTCACCGGCACGGTGTGGATCTGCTCCATCACATCCCATGGGTCGTTGGGATCTTCGCTCATGACGGTCATGGCATCGAGGTGTGCCTGGTTCGTCATGTAGGCTGACGCTTTGGCCTTGGGGAGTACTTTGCAGCGAGGCTGTACAATCCCCTGTTGCGTCTCGGTCTCCTCCAGTGTTGGAAGACCATTGTCGATCTCGAGCTGTTGCACCATCTTTTCGACATAGATGATCAACTTCCTGTGCTCTTCTCGATGGCTGTCTGAGTAGGTTCTGATGAACCATTTCATCCATCCCTTCTCGGTCTCCCACATCTCGAGATATGACTTGCCCACATGCGCTTTTCCAAACGCAATCCTGCAGTTGCACATCTCTTCTAACGTCTTCTGCTCGAAGGCTGCTACTCCGTCGGGAGACGTTTGAGCCATGACTCGATCCACTCGGCTGGCAAGGCTCATGGCTTTGGCGATCCTGAAGGCTCTGGACAAGTTCAATGAACTTGGACGAGGTGGTCTCGGGCCTGGAGATCTCGGCATGAACTGGCTGTTCTACAAACCCTTGACATCGGCTGCTACTGTACACCTTTTGACATGTCTGTGGACCACTGGGTGATTTCAGAACTGACACCTGGATACCTGTGGCCTCGACTGCACTTGAAGGGTCGGATGCTGGCTTTTGGCACTCTGAAAAATCGCTGCTCACGAAGGTTTCAGCAGTGGACATTGGAGTCCTCCTGTGTGGCCCCTTCTGTGCTTGGATTAGATCTCGGATATCCAACATATACAAACCTTTGGGGGTCAAGTGCAGTTTGACATCACTGTGCAAAAAGGGACTCGACAGGACCTGACGCTCACTGTTGATACTTGCCCTCAGTGTCCGGATCAAGGTATTGGAAAGCAACAGTGGGGTTTCACCCTCAACAATAGCTACCTTCAAACCCAAACCAATGGAAGTCAAAGGAATCACTAAAGCTTGTTGGCTATCCAAAGTTCCCTGGTTTCCAAATCTAAAGGTGATTTCACACTTTGTTCGGAAAAGGTTCTTCCGGACATCAGTTGGCAGACTTTCTATGAACGCTGGCAGCAGTTTGCTACCGATCACTGACTTTGTTGCACCTGTGTCAAGAATGCCACTGGTACCATGGGTGGAAAAAAGAATCATCTCAGGTTCAAAAGGTGTGCAGTCATTCTGGATCTCCATGTGCTTTTCGGCGAGGTTTTCATTCCTGGGACCATGACTCTTCGGGTTATCTAAACTTACCCCCCAATACCCTTTCATTCGGAGGCGTTCCCGGAGTGCATAAGGAATGGCAGTCACAACATTAATTTCATGCATGCTAGGTTCATCGAGGGCGGCTTCATGTATGAGAGGCAGTTGCATGAACTCCATTGGCAAGGCATTGGGCACGGATGCATCATCAAGGGGCTCAGCAGTGGTGGTCATCGCTGCTGATGTTCCGGCTGCACTGGTGGACGCACTACCCCTAGATCTTTCAGGGCACTCAGCTTTCCAATGCCCTTTTTTACCACAGATTCTACATGAGCTTTCGAGTATCCGTTGTTGCAAGGACTTCTTGGGGAATTTCCCAAACGACTTTCCACGACCCTTGTTGGGATATCCTTTGCCTTTCCCCTTGTTGGGACCTACAGGCCAGAAACCCCTGTTCTTAAATCGATCAGAAAGCCTTTTACGAGCCTCGGAGTACGAAGTGAAGGCAGCTGCAAGATCTTCATCAGATTGAACGGTGTCAGCCATCGCTGACTCATAGTCTGCAATGAGGGCTGCGTCCTCGTCAGCTTCCTGCAGTAAGCTCTCAAAGAACTCCTCCTCCGTGATCTCCTCAGTTGCGAAAACCTGAGACTCAAGATGATTTTCATCCTCGTCCTCGGCAACTAGAGCTTGACTGTCATAGATCTTGCCCTTGGTCTTCTTCTGTCCGATCATTTCATTGAAGAAAGCAGTTCCCAACATACGGACGGCCTTGCTCACTTTGTCCACAGTTAGCGTACCTTCTTTGTCAGCCCCACTCTCAACGATCACTCTCTTTTTGTCTTCCGTGCTCAGAAGGGATCCTCGTAGGATGATGTAGGCGTGAACCTCATCCAGGTCGATCTTCTTGGACTTAAGTTCTGACCAATTGACATCGCATCTTGCCAGAAAAGAGTCATTGGACTCGTCTTGTCGCTGCACGCACTTAAACAGTGCCTTTTCCACAGTTTCATACTTACGTTCCAAATTCACTTTGCCCCATTGACCACCAAGTGTGGTCACCAGCAACTGAATTCCAGCCTTGTCATTGGTGAGAAGCTTGTCACGATTCAGCTGGGGCTTTTGAAACGCTGTCCCTGTAGTATTCAGCATAAGACGGGTAATGAGCTCATTCAGTTTCGATGCAGGCCAGATTTCGCCCAACAATTCCACCTTCTGAGTATATTGTTCAAGGTCATCTTTGGAGGGATCGAAGCTCGGAACCAGTGTGGCCAGGTTGTTGGAGACATTGTTTGAAACTTCCCCTGTATCACCTGCAGCCTGTGACATTTGCGTCACCCCTCGATGTTTTCACCAGAGAAAAACAAAATTGCCCTGGAGCGATGTTGGTAGCTCCGCTACCAGTGAGAACCTGGTTCTTCACTGGCAGCCAATCTCCAAAATCTCAAATGCAAGTTGAAGGCCCTTGTTTTCCCTCAAGCGCAGCACAACGATCTTGGAACTCCGCACAGCAGCAAAACTCGGATGCCAGTGGATGGCAGTTGCAACAAGGTATGTATTGCTGGCCACAGCAATGGAAAGACCGTCCACGGTCCTATGGCACCAAGCTACTTTCCACGACCCACCCTCCGCAAGGGCTGCCTCAGCCTAAAGTGGCTATGGCGAAGAGCATGCTCATCCCCTGAATGGAAGCTGGTGATTACCTGATAACAGACTGGGATCAGTTATGGATTCACATTATATATATATATATGTACGGGAATACTATTGGTAATGTGAGTAAAACAATGCCGTAAACCACCCATTTGGGAATGGTAATCATACCACCTATAAAAATGGTGATTTTCCTGGGGGATGGTAAACATGGCATTGTTTTACCCACATGATATACAAAATGATGGACATGTGATATGGCCCTCGGCTGGATGTTATGTAGGGTGCCTAGATTTCAACCCAACCTTCCACTATTTAGAGTATGGTTTGTCGAACCATGGCTAGCGGCCATCTTCTGACCTGTTGTCTGGTTGAAGGTGGATGGTTTGATACATTTGGTTTGCCTAACTTGGAACCATTGCTTTTTAAACTGTTGCTTTATATATATATGTATATATATATATACATATATATATACATATATATATATATACATATATATATATACATACATATATATATATACATATATATACATATATATATATACATATATATATATATATCATACATATATGTGTATATATATATATACATATATCATATCCTTACCTTTCTGGCTAAATCTCCATATTTGGCAGCTGCATCCCTCATGTTAGTGCCGCTCTGGCATTGAAATCCTCGCCGTTTGGCGCGTTTTTGGGGCACCCAATGGCTTGACTTTACATCATCTCTGCATCTTTGCTTCTATCCCCACCTTTCATCCTGTATCCACAAGATAATTCCGGTATCTGATAATATCCCCATGTTGATATATATATATATATGTATACATATATGTATACATATAATATATACATATATATATATATACCCCATATGAATTACATCACGTAATATCCCCAGAGCTGTTGTTTCTTTACCCCCACCTTCATTCCCCGTTTTCCCAAGCGACAGGAGGATCTGTAAACTCGCCGCACAGTAAGGCGCCCAAAAGGGCATGACCCGCGCACCAGCACCGTTTTGCAGGACCTCCCACACCTGGAAGCACTGGATTTGGCCCGGATTGGGATGGAAATTTGCAGAAATTGGCTGGGAATCTGGAGTTTGATGTAATGTTTAAGACGTTTGTCATGGAGATGTTGATGATATTCCTTTCGAAAAGCTGGGATTTGAGCAACAAGAAGATTTAACGCTGAAATTCATGGGATGAAAGGAAGCTGCCAACATGGGTAAGGAAAGAAAAACAACAAATACAAAGGATTACATAATCTGGCTTATTGAGCCTTTGATACAGGGCTAGTGTACGGAGAGTTTTATCCTGGGAGAATCGGAGAATCATAAAACTGTTTGCATGGTATATAAATGTTGTCATTTCGATGGTGAAATAGACAAAGCAGTGAATCCAAGACTAGACCATAGGGGAAATCCTAAGGCCTTGATGGGAAAGATGGTCGAAAAGGCATTTGGATAGCTTTTTGATGGGAAAGATGGGCCCCATTTCCAGGTTGGATTTGTCCGCCAAGCTGTCTGACCTGGTTCAAGACCA